CCCCTCCCTCCCAGTTGTATCAACAATGAATTATTTTGTTACCGACTGCGGTGACGCGTCACCGGGAAGTCGTGGAATTGAAATGAATGGGAAACCGCCGGGCGAGTACGGCGCAAAAGTATCGTTTCCCCGTAACTACCGCGGCGCCGAACATCAGAGGAATGATGATAAACTTCGAAAGAGTGAATGTTTGGAAAGGACTGACAAGAAAAACGAAAAAGACCGGCTGCCGGCATGACCGGCAACGTTCGAACTTCTGCTCCGTGGGCTACGTCGACTTCGCAGTTCGCTCTCCCTCCTCCGCTTCGCGCGTCTGTTTCCCTTCGTTTATTCAAACTAGTTTAACGCGGATCCAAACGGATCTGGACACGATTCAGTGACGTTACTATTAACCTCGGGAATACCGCGAGTGAAAAGTCGGCCGTGGCATAACAAACATAATTCTTAATCTAACCCCTACCTGGAACTTGGTCGCGCGGACGTTCAAATCTGAATTCAGAATTAAATTTGAGTTTTACTCGCGAATCGTACAATATATCACGACATTGCTGTAAGCACGATTCAACTGAAAAACTCGCATCCAACCCAGACATCGCGTCCTAAAGCCGACCTCTTCGACTGGATACGGCAATCAAAGGTTTGATTGAAACACACTCGCCGGATCTTGGTGATCGTTACCAAATTCTTCTTCCAAGTGCGTCCTTCGGACAAAGTGATCGAATATGATGGTATAGGAATTTGAGATTGAAATCCGAACCGGCTTGATCTCAACCGAGGCGAGTTTCGAGTAACGACTGTCAATACGGGTCTTATCTACACGTTTATCGCATTTGATTTGCGATCCATACCGGGATTATCCTTGGAAAGAGGCGAGGTAGGTGCGGTGAAGGAAGCTCTCGTGCGACCCCCTTCGGTCCACGGTTGACGAAAGAAAGAAGCGCGCCCGTACAATCTCGCCGGTAGTGCAACATTGTTGTCGCGGATGCTTTGCGCTCAGAGAACGCGACGTCGGCGAAGGAGGAAACAAGGAGGAAGGGTGGAACGACGGCCGGCGCGCGATCATTATTTCCCGACGTGTGTAGTCCACCGAGATGGGGATGCCGGTGAAACAATGCGCGCCAGCAAGTTGGTTTAAATATTCAGCCTCCGGCGCGGATACGCGCCATTCGCGCGCGCTCACGGATGCAGCAACTTGAGACGAGAAGCCGTGTTCCGAGGCAAAGAGAAAAGAAGGGAGGAGAATTTATTACGTTCTGGGGGAAAATTCTTCCCGGCCGGGACGCGATGGAAGCTCCGTAACGGTTTCAGATAATGAAACAAGATTATTGGAAAATGAACCGGCCGAAGGAAACAATGGAAGTTATTAAAACATTTTCACTAAGCCGATTAGAAGACACTGTTTTCATGCCTCTTCCCCCCCTCCCTCCCGATTTCCCTTCTTACCGCGGTCTACCAGCGTTACGATCTATCTCAGTAGTATTTTGTAGACTAGAAGGCTAGAAGAGCGCGTTAACCGTCGAATCGAATTTATCGTTCTCTCCTCTCTTCCACGCGATGCTGATTAGATTTGCATTAGCGTGCCCTTCAGTTATTTCTCGCCGGATTTGCCGTTCGCAGAATTTCAGTCACGCGCTGACACTCTCCAGCGTGCATTTCGCGCGTCTCACGTACATTTGCGCGCGCACACTGACAGGAACATTTTACGATTGCACGGGCTCGCGCGTAAAAAAAAAATTCGCACGGAGGGAGACGAAATATCGCGATACCTCGGCGAGCGTCGGGGACCGGCGCGGAGACGAGAACGGGAAAATAAACTCCCGGCAGCAACGAAGCGCGACGGGCGCCAAGCGGCAGCCTCACAATAGGGAGCATCTGCTTAGCAAATTGCGAAAAATAATAACGTTTGCGCCGAAATCCGTGGCCCGGAGCACCGTAGGAGTCTGCGAAGCTACCACGCGCTGTGCTAACACAATAACGCGCACTCGTGGAAGAGGGTGAATTCGAGAGAGAGAGAGAGAGAGAGAGGATGTGAGGTGCAAAACAAGCGTCGTATCACAATTCCCCTCGTGGTAGTGCACGACGAAAACAATATGTCGCGTACATACGCGGAGGATCGCGCGATGCGCTCGTCACGCGTGACACGAAGTCACCCAGCCGAAGGCGATTCCGGGACTTCTTTGTGACCGTGACTTCCGCACCTTTGACGGTGAATGCGTCGTGCCGTCGGCCGTGCGTGTTTCCTGTCGAGGATTCCGCCGAGGAGGGCTCTTCGAGCATTAACATCGCGATCGATCCGCGTTAAATCACCCGGGGATTTCTGTCAAGCCGCATATGGCCCTCCAAGTACCTCGCAATCATCGAGCTCTTAATGTCTGTTAGACGTCGAGACGTCGAAAGGACGTATTTGAAACGTCTTTTAAATATAAATAAACGCGCTGATTGGGTTAGCGGTGAATGTCTGCCCGATGGAAAAATCCTCCCCGCGCGTGCTAAATCTGCGAATGTTCGCGGAGGAAACGCTCGCCGGCAAGAATCTAATCGATCGTGCCAGTCGTCATCGTAAACCAGAGGGAAACGCGCGAATACCTGTCGAAATGATCGATCCCGCTATCGGCCGTGCTCGGCGGATACGCGCGGCCAATGTTTAACGCGACATAATACGCCGGCATGACTAATTCGTGCCATTATCATCGACGCTAATCGCCATCTATCTACGAGGATAATGAATACCGCAAATTAATAACGCTCGATTGACACGTTACGTCCGAGCTTCATCCAGCGAGCGACGTGCACATTGTGTTCCTAACAAGAGCGCGCCTCCCAACCCTCCCCCCTCTTAACTCTTTCACCGACATACGCGTGTTCGTTACGCGCGCGCCTCCGCGCTCGAAAGGATAACGGCAGATTATTATCGCGCAGAGTATTATCGCGCGATGGAAGATATTTCCGCTTCGACGGGCGGAGTCCGAAATATCCGAAGAATTACTTATATTTGCCGGAAACCGACGGGATGATGTTTAATTCATCACAGCAGGCGAACGCGAATTAATTCGCGCGCATTAGCATCAACGTGCTAATCGCTCTACCTGCCTGATAGCCGATCCTGAATGCAGTAAATTAATTACACTCAATTAATATGCAATATTCACAACAATAGTGCGCGTTTCGCGGCCGATTCTTTCATGCGCTCGCGAATCGAAACGTATACCTACGGGAGGAACGTTATCGATGAGGGGGAAAGAGATTTGCCGTTGTTCGGAGAGGAATTGTACGCTCCCGTTGCTGGATACCTCATCGGCGTTGTTTAATGCGGAATTATAGAACCGCACGATTACCTCGCGCGTTATCACCGAATCCGGCCAGTACGGGCGAACCCTGAGTCGAGATTTTGGCACTATGTGAAATCTTGAATTCTACAACACGATAGGAGCTGAAATGACACGCAGAAGATAGATTCTATTCTGATGATATAATTTACTTTTATTTCGACCATGATAATATCTGAAATTACCGTCTTCGGTGTTTTTAACGTCAAAATAGGTTGTTTTGGATACTCATGATCAGTGATCGCGATTCCGCCTACGTTGTAGGCTTCTGAGGACAAAACAGGAAAAAAATAACGAAAGTACAAACTTGTGGGTATCATGAAGTGGCTATTGATGAAGTCAGTATCTTTAATATTTCGATCTTTTGAGGACTCCCGAAGCTGAAAAATAATTGGCCGAAAATCAATTTTTCTCTTTTAAATCGCGTCATTTTGAGGAAAATCAATTTTTGTTCTCCATTGTGGTAAGAACAATAGCCACGAGTTTATAGTTTAATAATTTTTCGCCGTTGGATTGGTTTCACAGAAGCTTGCAAAATTCGGAATCGTGGCAACCGTGCAAGCCAAACGTTCGTTCAGCACTGCGCAAAATGATTTATAATTAAAATGATTTATTAATATTGAAGATAATAATGTGCAGAAATTACTGCATATATAATTTAAAACGTAGATAAATATTAATACAAAATTTCAAAATAACGTGTCTTATAGTATATTTAGAAAAAAATTTCAAAAAATTCACCTACGGAACGACGATTCAAAGGAGGATGAAAGCTTCAAAGTAATATTAAAAATTTCGCTTCGGGAACATGTCTGAACGTAACGAGTCATTAACATTCAATCGACACGTAATATTCCCAAACGTGATGCGCATTTCATAATCTCCTAATTCTTTTATGTCCGCACGTCAGTCGTTTATTACACGAGCGTGGCTTGCCGGGGATCAAGACGAAGAAAAGCGCTATTAAGGGGAGAGAGAGAGAGAGAGAGAAAGAGAGAAGCGGGAGCGAGAAAAAAGGTTTTCGCGAGAAAAAGGAAGGCGGGAGCCGTATTCAAAGGAAAATTTATCGGCGATATTTCCCGGATGGCAACGTCGGCGTCGCATAGCTTCGGCTTCTGTCGATTCCTATTAATCATCGGCGCACAACTGCGCGTACCCGTATCAACACGCGCCCGAAGATACATGCCGGGAGTTTCTCATGCCACGATGCGATCGCCACATGTGACCACGGTCCGACGTTCTCATGGCAATCGCATATCGGAGCATCACGTGCGCGACACGCGTGTAACTGGCCCTCTCTCTGTCCTTGTCTCTTTTTCTCTCCTTCTCATCCACCCCTCTCTCTCTTTCTCTCTCTCTGTGGCCTTCTCACTGTCCCTGTCTATCACCGCTATTTCCCATATTCTTGCACATCGAATCGCCACAATCGCAACCTGGCAAATTAATGCAGT